TGGCTTCCATATCTAGTTATATGCAGTGCTTTTTTTCTAATAATAATAAAGAACTTACATACATCATACAACCCGCCTTGCCTACCCGTACAAGGTTCCATCCAAAAATGGTACTGGAACTCCATTCTGGGCGTTCTATGACAAAAAAAAGCCCTGGTTTTATGTATGTACAATGTATGAGTGAATATAGTTAGAACAATATTGCAGTTTTTCAGGGTTTTTTTTATAAAGGTGCAAGATTATTTTGAGGAATCATTGCCCTATAGTAGGCTGATGTTTTTGGTAGTAAGATTTCCAACTCTTTTGGTTTATCCACTGCCTGGGCAGTGATATTGCCAATGCTTCATAATGACCCAGAAATGTAAAACCAATATATTTCATAGCAAGTTATTTAGTATTTTCATTTGTTCCCTGTAACATCCCTTCCTTCATCCAAAACAGTCATTAGTATTTTTGAATTAGCATTTCTATCAGAACAGTGGGTTTAAAATCCCTGAAGGCACCATCATGATGATGTTAATCTTTTGGCTGGGATTTGCAGAACAATCTCTGCAGAGTTTGCTAGACAAGACTATTAAATTAACCCAAGGAAGCTCCCAAGAGAAAACCATGCTATCAACCTGCTTGAGGGAAGTAGTAATGAATCTCTGAGGTTTAACTAATAATCCTCAGCCTGCAATCCCAACAGAAAGACAAAGAATAGCTTTCTTGGCAGTCAAATCACCACTTCTGATGGGGACTTTTGTCCCAGACCTGCATAGGAGGCCACAATTCAGGAGAATTGTGGCATAGTGTTTTGATACAGCCCTCTGGAAAGAAAAACAGGCAAAGAGCACATCTTTGAATTGTTAAGCAACTAGTTAACAATTCCTTTCCAGGCACAATTCAAAGTGTGAGTGTTAACCTTTTCCCATTTACAGTTTTCTCCATATCAGGATGCCTATGCCACGAACATTAAATGTAACTATTATATTGTATATTTTAGCATAGTTTGAGAAATCTAATTTCTCTTTCAAATGTGGTTTGAAAGTCAAAATTGTTAAAAACACTATAACATTTGTATGAAAAGCAATTGAAAATCATTATCAGAAACTTAAACCAAATGAAGCAAATTTATATTTATCCAGATTGTTGGTCCAATACTTTTTTTCCTGCAATAGCAATAGGTATATCCAACTGAGATCTTTGCAACTAGAGATTTGGCAAAATGAAGCTGCAGTATTATGCATATAGAACGTGTTTTGCTATTGAAGAATGGATTGAGTCACCAAAATAAACTTTTAGAATAAGCAGCATTAATATTTTCATTAGTAGCATTTACCACTATCATTTCCTTTCTTCCTTCAGTAATATTTCTGTGCTGCCTGTTAAAAAGCAACCAAAATGATTCACAGTGAACCAGTAATAACAGTAACAATAACAAATATTTAAAACTTTAAAGCAATAAAATCTGCAAAGTAATTTAAAAGACATAGTGAAAGGAACAGTATAGTTCCTAAATGCTGTTTTTAGAAATCAGAAAGTGAGTACTGATCTCCTGATCTACTATGAGCTTAACAAAAGAACCCCACTTTCTGCATCGGAGACAAGTTAATAAATAAGACACTCAGACCCTTTGATTGCCCAGTAGTCTTTAGCCAGGTAAGATTGTAAGGATCAAAGCCCATAAATTGAATTGGACCAGAAAATAACTGTTGTTTTCAGAATAGGTCATTATTATAATTATAAATAATTATAAGCTATGGTAGATATTTTTAAAATTAGTTAAATTTGTACCAACAAATACAGTGACCAAGGTCATGTAATTTTGAATTGGTGCATCATCCTGGAATCAGGATGTAAGCTAATTACCCTCATCCAAGAATCCCAGGGAACCAAAAGAATTCCCTTTAATGACTCTCCCAAAAAGAAACACTTTTGGTTTTCAAAGTTTATATAAATTACATTGCAAACTAATGTAATCTCTTATTTCTCTGATCACTTTTATAGGAATATTATATTTTAAGGTATTGAAGATTTTTGCACTGAATTCACATGAAACCATGCTGATGTCAAGGTTCTGAATGATGAACCCAATGATCTGAAATGATCCAATCTCTAATGCAAAACTTTATTGAGCACATTATTTCGGTACAGGTGAAAGGAAACCAGCTCTGGTTATTTCCCACCTAATTTGCTATATTAAAAGTATAAAAGTCTCCCTTCCCCTATTAGTGCAGGTCACATTATCCAATTATAATTCAGATAACTATTATGAGAGAATATCTTTAGTTCTCAATAAATAAATCTTGAATGTCCTTGGTTCTCATGGACTGGCCTCTTAATATCAGACGTCTGCATTCCACTCTTCCCTCCCTTCTCTCCGAGTTGTAGGCAAGCTAAGAAGCAATAATGGCTGAAACAGCATAAGCATTCTTTGAGGCTTGATAGATGAATTATTTCCTGTGGATTTCCCCCAATGTTAATTGCAAGGCAATAGGCATTGCACAGTCTGGGTTTTCTTAACAAATTATCTAATGTAAGAAATATACTGCTTGTTTTCCTGTGTCTTCATTCTTCTTAGTCTACATTCATGTTACCTTATTTGGCAAAACCATACTTCTAGGCCACTATAGCTATTTGACATGTGAAAAGCAATTGCTTGAGCCATAACATGATTTGCAGAGGGATTTTTTAAAGGTGTTGATAGCCATATATGTGAAAACATAGAAAGCAAACATAGAAAGAAAGGGAGAAATATATTAAACACAGTCTAGCAATAAAGGAAAATAAAATGCAAGTTATAACATAAAAACATTGTGTTTGAATGCAAAAAACAAATATATGCAAAATATATTCAGGGTAGCTATGATCATTTACAATCAAAGGCCAAAGGAAATAATTTTGCACCTTTCTAAGTGTAATTATAAACATCATGCCCATGCTTAGGATTAAATAACTATCATGGCAATTCTGTGTGCCAGAAAGTATGACACTTGATATATAACAAGCAATTTTTAGAAGGGTATAGTTGAGCAGTCAAAAAGCTTGAAATGTAACCTCCTACTTGTTGATAATTATAGCTTTGGTCTCCACGGAGCTGTTCAGCATGCTACTTATATGATCACAGTATATTTGGCAAGATTTGAGAGTTGGTTTCAACTGTTTTTTGCCAATTCATTTCTCTCTTGAGACAAACTTACTGTAGCTGCAAATTCCTCCAACCCCCCAGCTGGTATCTTTTTTGCTCCTGAAACCATTGGAAATATTTTATCTCTGATCTCTACATTGTTTTCTTCCTCTGAAGGATGAAACCGGATAGTTAAAAAATTAAATACATTTTCTATATACACAAATTACATAAAGTCAATGTAAAAATTTGCATACTGCTTATTTAAGAACATAAGAATTTCCTACTGAATCAAACCCAAGGCCCATACTAGTTTAACTTTTTGAATCCCATATAATCAACTATATGTTTCTGGTTGCAAATTGAAAATATAGACATATCTTTCTCCTAATGGCTGTTATATATGGGGAAAATGTACAGAAAGTTCTTTGACATTTGAAAGATAAGAATAAGATGCTAAAAAGAGAAAGGTATTTGGCCACATTTGACTTAATGTTGATATTATTAAACACCCATCTTTAGGCAAAACTACTTGCATTTCCATTGAAGATACAGCATTACATTGAAGGTGTGCAAAACAATTGAAAAAGATACTTTGCAGTGTACAGGGGTGCAAAGATACCTCTCTTCAGATTGTTAATGCAGCCACTTCATTGTAAGGCTTGTACATCTTGCTTCAGAAGCTACTCCTAACTGTTTGCATGCATGTACAAGGTTATGATTGTAGCTCTACCTTCATATATATATATATATATATATATATACATACATACATACATACATACACACACATACATACATACATACATACATACATGCCTTTCATGTTTCACAAAGTTTAACTCTGTTAAGATGTGTGTCTTGTGAACAGGATACAAACAACATACAAACAACATACAACATACAAACAACATACAAATAACATGTACATACAAACAAAAAATGTACCTACAAAAACAATGTAATATAATCATAAGATACTAATAGGAGAAGGTAATAGAAAAGATGAGAAGGATAATAGTAATACTACACGGGAAAATATCCTTAGACACAAGACAGGAATTAGATGTTCGGCAGAGTGATGGCACAAGGAAAAAAAAACCTGTCTTTGCATCTAGTTGTTTTGGCATGCAATGCTCTGTCCCAAGGGGAGGAATTGAAACAGTTTATGTCTAGGATATGAGGGGGTCTAGATATTTTCTCAGCTCTCTTTCTGACACGTGTAGTATATAGGTTGGAATGCAGTCTGGTTGCAATTGTTTTTTCTGCATATTTTTATTTCAGATTATGGTAAAGGGAAAACCAGGCAAATCATTAGTGACTGTCAGAACCCATTTCTTTGGTGGGGGAATCTTTTCCTTTCCCTTTCTTTTTATTTTCTTCTCTCTGGGTTCTGCCATACTACTGGGGGGAGGGGGGAGGCTTTTGAGGGATTGTATTTGTATTGGACTTTCACTTAGCTGCTATAATATACCCTCTCCATTTCCTCTATCTGCTTGCTCTTTGAACTATTCCCCCCTTGGCCAACCTGGGGTGAGAAAGGAATGTGCCTCCGGTCATCTGGCTTATCTCTCGCTGCAGAACGGAAGGTGCAAAGACCCAACAATGTTTTCACAACCTTGGGAATGGAGTCTTATCAGCCTCGTTCCCACAGTGGACTTAACACCTGGGGATTGGCCCATTTGAACTGACCAGATGAACTGTTGGGGGGGGGGTGGGGTTTGTTTTTTGTTTCTTTAACCTATCGATTTGCATAGGAAACCAACAGATCCTGCCTTCTATGCCTGCTGTCAACCTCTCCTAATAAAAGTTCCTTTTGGAGTTCTGCTTTCTTGGGAAGAGGATTTGAAGTGGGTCCTTACACTGACCTTTTTTTATCTTTCTCTTTCAGTGAGTATGTTTTTGAACACATTAACACCCAAATTCTACGTTGCCTTGACAGGCACTTCTTCGTTAATCTCAGGGCTTATTTTGGTAAGTACTAGATCTATTTTTAAAATATTTTATAATCTTCTATAATACATTGGATTTTACAGCTATATGTTTTTTGTCTTTTTTCCTTCAAGTTTCCATATTTATGTATCTTGTATAATTCATGTTAGTCACAAATTAATCTGAATGTTAAGTCTTGTTCTGTGGAGCAAATTTGCTTGAGTACATACTAGAGAAATTATACTTTTGTCAATTAGCATAGAAAAAAACAATTTGTTTAAAGTACACTCTGTGTATTAGTTCAAATTTCTGGCCATGAAAATAGAGACATATATATAAAAACAAAGACTCTAATGCAGGGTTCCCAACCGGGGTGCTTGCACCCCCTGGGGCTGCTAGACGATATTCCAGGGGGTGCAAAAACTTGGATTTAGACGTTTCAAAATTATAGTGTATATGCATAATTCATTATTTTGAACTTTTGTAAGAGGTGCTAGAATATATCAGAAGTGTTCTAGGGGTGCAGGGTATAGAAAAGGTTGGGAGCCACTTCTCTAATGGCACATTAAAGATAAATACATCACAGTTTAATTTATTAGATGTATGCATGATACCTAACATATGAGGGCAATTCAGAAATAAACCTCTGTTTGGGTATCAATGACAGACACTCTCAGAGTTTTCTAATGTGTATTATACACATTAGAAAACTACAATATTATATTATTTTTTGACATAATTGCCATTCAAATTGAGGCACTTGTCATAACTTCTTACAATGTTTGAAATTCATTAGTAGTAGTTGCTCGGTGCCAGATCTGGGCTATGGGGGATGATCAAAAACATGGAACTGCTTCAAAAGTTCTTGGGTGCATCTAGTGGTCTGCGGATGAGCATTATTGTGAACCAGCACCAGCAGGCCTCGACACTTGTTATGGATGGCTCGTCTGAGTTTTCGTAATGTTTCACAGTAGACTTCTGAATTGATGGTCAAACCATGCTCCATGAACTTCACTAGCAGTATTCCTTTGGCATCTTCACATTGCGCGGGATTTTCTATGGCACCACTTCCGGTGGGTTTTATATTGTCAAGCAGCTGTATTAACATGGTTAAAAGAGTGGATAACCTTTAGGCACAAAAGACTACTATATCTAGAGGGACATGACCTACAACTTGGATGACATGCTTTTCTATGGTGTGGAAAGAACAAAATCCATAAATACTTTCAAAATCACTACCATATATGCCGGCGTATTAGGCGACCCAGTGTATAAGACAACCCCTGTCTTTGGCGCCAAGTTGCATTCCTAGAACGTCGTCTTATACTCAGGAAACTACCAGTATTTCTGGCGTATAAGACGACCCGGCGTATAAGACGACCCCCATCTTTGGCGCCGATTTTAATGCTTGCGGAAGTCGCCTTATATGCCGGCATATACGGTATATAAGAAATGCCTTACTTCTGGCATGGGAAAAGATAAAAATGAAAATCTATATGAAAATACCAGGATGGATCTCGACAATGGAAGTGTTTGTGCACCCAAATTTAACCAACTATGAGAAACTTATAACATACAGAGACATTTTGAATACTGATGGGAAATTAAAACTAAACAAGAATTGGAAAAGCAGGACATTGAGCTATCATGGTGGCCACACTTGTAAATGCAAATGAGATACAAAAAAGATGCCAAAACATATGGTTTTTATAAAGATCAAACAGTGTTTGACCAGATACTATTGTCATCAGATAAGAAATTGATTAAAAATCTGTATAAATTTTTTGTTAAACCTAAAGATGGAAGATGAACAAGTTAAAGAAACAATGATAACTTTGGCAAAGAAATTTGGATACAATATAAAATTAGAAAAATGGCAAAATTTGTGGGAAAGAAACTATAAAATAACAGGGGCAGCTACTTATAAAGGAAATCTATATAAATGTTTTATAGACGGTATTTACCACCTGCAAGATTAGCAAAAAATATTTTTTATAAATGGCTAGAAAAGCAGAATACAGAGTAAAAATGGAAGTCGTATTACTATCAATGTTAAATATGTAAACCCAGACAACATGTTGTTTATTAAGCACTAAAGATATGTAACTATAAAAACTTAATAAAATAGCTATTAAAATAAACAATCTTAGAAAAAAAAGCTTGGCTAAAATCAGAATATCAGAATAATTCTTGAGATAATCTACTTTCTGAATTAAACCTATGGATTGACTTTTCTAATTTGACTTCTGGATGAACTTCTTTCCAGAAAGTGGTTTCTTTCCCTTAAATAAGGAATTATTTTTTTAAATTAGCCAGAAAAGTCCAAACTTACAAAATATTCCAAACTCACCATTAACGTAACAGAAAGAAAAGACATATACCCAGAGGATATACGAAACACAGCTGTTTTGTCTACATCTACAAGTTCTCTTTAGTCCCTCAAGATACTTAGAGCTCATTCAGGAAAAGCTTTCTGAAGAATAACATGTCTGCCAAAGAGATTGAGAGACTTTGTTGTTTCTAAGTAATAAAAAAATCATTACTTTCCTAATGAGTGTATCTTGGGCAGGGGTAGGCAACCCAAAACACTTAAAGAGCCACTTGGACCCGTTTCCCACCAAAAACAAAACACTGGGAGCCGCAAAATGAAGATAACACTGCATATATCCTTTTTTACCTTTATTATAGGTGTGTGTGTGTTTGTGTGTGTGTGTTTGTGTGTGTGTATGTATGTGTGTGTGTGTGTGTGTGTGTATATATGTATATGTATATGTATGTATGTATATATATATATACATACATACACACACACACACACACACACACACACACACACACACACGTAAAAAAAGGATATATGCAGTGTTATCTTCATTTTAGATGTCAAAAGGGTCTCTCTCTCTCTCTCTCTCCCTCTCTATCTGCCCTTGGTCTGCCACTCCTCTTCCCCCGCTCTCTTTCTTTCTCTCTCTCTCTTTCCTCTCTCTCTCTCTCTCTCTCTCTCTCTCTCTCTCTCTCTCTCTCTCTCTCCCTCTCTCTCTCTTTCTCTCTCTCTCTTTCTCCCCCCCTCTCTTATCTGCTGCTCACCTGACAAGCTTCAGGCTGTTGTCCAACAAGATCAGGGGTAGGCAACCTCGTCTCTTTTATGACTCATGGACTTCAACTCCCAGAATTCCTGAGTCAGCCTAGCTGGGCTAGCTAGCTCTCTCCTGCCCTTCCTGCTTCCTGCAGAGACGCAGCAAAGGGAAGAGCTCCGCCCAGTAAGCTTTTCAGTTCCTCGGAGAACACTGTGAGTGCAGTCTCTTTTTTATACACACACACACACACACACACACACACACACACACACATACATACACACAAACACACACACAGAGAGAGAGAGAGAGAGAGAGAGAGAGAGAGAGAGAGAGAGAGAGAGAGAGAGAAGCAGGGAAGCGCAATTCCTCTCTCTGTCTCTGTCTCTCTCTGCAAAGGCAGAGGAGGCTGGGAGCCGCAGGGGAAGGCTCAAAGAGCCGCATGCGGCTCCGGAGCTGTAGGTTGCCGACCTGTGATCTTGGGTATTCCATGATCTAATTTTATCTCAGGGTATATGATCAAAGATGAAAATAAAACACAAATGAAACTTTTCAGACAAATGATTTGAATTTTGTAGGATGGGGGGGAAGCAATAATTCCAACAATGAAACATTAATTTTCAGAATTTATATTTTACTTTTAGGTACAAATTTTAACCTTAGAAATAACAGCAAAGGATTAAGTGAAGGTATTTTGCTAAGTTTAGATAAAATGTAATTTTGTTTTAAGGGGTATTGCTGCAGTGAAAGGACAAGGGGGAAACAACAGGAGGAGTCAGTCTTATTATTTTTTTTTTACATTTTTATTGACCTTTTCCTTCTGGATCCATCATTGTGGTAACTGTTGTTACTGCTGTAACATTCTTAAAACAAATTCTGATCTAATTAATAATGATTCATTAATATCCTACTTCTGCAGGATGCAGAATAACTGAGTATTCATCAAAGAGAAGAAAGCTTGTTTACACAGAGAGCAATGCATAAGTCCCAAGAATGCAGGTGGTCGATTCCATTACTTCTCTGTTTAGAATTTAGAATTCTTTATTGGCCAAGACACACAAAGAATTTGTCTCTGGTACATAATCTCTCCTTGTACATGCAAGCAACAAGTGATAAATCATGATCATAATCATAAATACAATAATCATAAATCATAAGATAAATTCTCAGTGTTAGTCATAGGATACTAAATAAAAGCAATCAACATAAATCAAATAATGCAAACAACAAAGTTATACCCATAAGATGCTAAAGGAATAGATTAGGAAAAATAAGAAGGATAATAGTAATACAGTCCTACTACATGGTTTGACACCCTAGGGCAGACTTGTCAAACACAAGGCCCGGGGGCTGGATGCGGCCCGCAAAGTGGTTTCATGTGGCCCGCGAAGCCATCCTGGAAACAGTGAGGGAATGGCCCCTGCTGCCTTGGCCCTGGCCCAGGCCGGCCAGGAGCCAATGTACAATTTTGTGGTGGCCATCTATGCTGAAACGCATTCAGTCTTAGCACTACAAGGCCGTCTAGAAACAGCAAGGAACCAGCCCCTGCTGTGTCGGCCCCACCCCCTGGGTGCATGCTGGGAAGGTGTCATTCTTTGTGAGGAATGGAGAAATGGACCATGCCTTGGTGCTTGCCCCGATCCCACCCCCTTCTGCCAGAGACCCTAAGAATTGTCCAGGCCCCCACAGGCACCCTTGACTTGAACGATGTAGAGCTGGCCATGCCCACCCAGTAGGCCACACCTCCTACATCCATTCCCATCCAGTAGGCTGCATCTCCCCGGACCCCCAAAGGCAACTGCAATGCTGATGCGGCCCTCAATGAAATTGAGTTTGACACCCCTGCCCTAGGGCATAAGACATAAGCCAGGGTTGTGGAAATTAGCAGAGTGATGGCGTTGTGTGTGGGGGGGGGGAACTGCTTGTATCTAGTTGTTTTGGCGTGCAATGCCCTATAGCATTGTCTTGAGAGAAGAAGTTGAAACTGTTTATATCCAGGATGTGAGGAGTCTGTAGATATTTTCACAGTCCTCTTTCTGGCTTGTGCAGTGTGCAAGTCCACAATGGAAGGCTGGTAGCAATTATTTTTTATGCAGTCCTAACTATCTATTGAAGTCTGTGTCTCTCCTGTTTGGTTGCTGTGCCAAACCAGACAGTTATAGAGGTGCAAATGACAGACTCAATAATTCCTCTGTAGAATTGTATCAGTAGCTCCTTAGGCAGTATAGGTTTCTGAGTTGGCACAGGAAGAACATTCTTTGTTGTGCTTTTTTGATGACGTTGTGTTAGGTGTCCATTTCAAGTCCTGAGATATTAGAGAACCACAAAACTTGAAGATCTCTACTGTTGATACTGTGTTGTCTAGTGTTGTGAGATGGTAGAATAGGAGGTCTTCTCCTAAAATCTATCTTCATCTCTACAGTTTTGAGTGTATTCAAGATTATTCCAACCACACCACAGGGCCAGTTGTTCAACTTGCCATTTATATGCAGATTCGTCATCATCTCAAATGAGACCAATGACTGTTGTATTATCTGCAAACTTCAGTACTTTAACAGAGGGATCATTTGAGATGCAGTCATTGGTATAGAGAGAAAAGAGCAATGGAGAGAGCACACAGCCTTGGGGGGCACATGTGCTAATTGTTTAGTTATCCAATGTGATTTTGAATAGCTTCACCTTCTGCTTCCTATCTGTTAGAAAACTTATGATCCACTTACAAATATGGTCAGGCACAGCTAGTCAGTTTAGCGAGAAGAGTATCTGGAATGATAGTATTGAATGCTGAGCTGAAGTTTACGAAAAGGACCCTTGCATATGTCCTTGGAAATTCAAGATGTTTTAAGATGTAGTGCAGTGCCATATTAACAACATCATCTGCATCATCATCATCATCTATGTGCACGGTGGGAAAATTGCAAGGGGTCTAACTGCAGATCCGTGATGGTTTTCAGGTGAGCCAGCACTAATCTTTCGAAGTTTTTCATAACTACAGATGTCAGACCAACTGGTCTGTAGTCATTGAGCTCCTTGATGGAGGGTTTCTTAAGCATTGGGGTGATAGTAGAGCATTTGATGCAAGAAGGAACATAAAATATCTCTAGTGATTTTTTAATGATGCAGGTTGTCATGGTTCCGATAGATGAAGCCAATTGAAATAAGTTCAAGGCAAAGATTTCTTCCTTAAAGAACATTTTATTCAGGAAACAAAGTATCAGCACTTACATACACTCTAGTTGAACCCAAGACTAAAGTTCCCTCCCCCCCTACAATGTAACAAGTTACAGTTCCCACCCCAGAAAGGCTGTCATAAATCACATTCACCAATTAATCTAAAACAAGGGCTCTCCTCCCCACTTCACAGTCCGGCCAAAACTTTTATCTAGAATTGACTTTGAAGCTCACCCAGCTGCAATTGTTTAGGCTAACTGAAAATGCTCAAGCATTCCCCCCTTCCCCCCTTCTACATCTGAGAATCCCAAGCAACAGAAAAAACACAAGCAAAGCAAAAGATAAAATGGCTGCAATTTCTTAATTGTCACAGCGTTGACACAGGTGAAGATGGAGGCCAGTTGGTTAGCACAGACTTTCAAGCAAGAAGGAGTTTCCCTGTCTGGGCCTGGTGCTTTCTCAGGTTTTTGTCTGTGAAATAGACCTCCCACATCTTTTTTTGTGATCACCAGAGGTGGGGAGCCCAGAGAATGGAGTCAGTTGTAGGAGACTTGGCTATTGGTGTATCTGAGAGGGAGAGGGTGGAGATAGTTGACAATGGTTTCCTCTCAAACCTACAGTAAAACGCATTCAGGTTTGCTGTAGTCAATGATATTTTTAAGGGTTTTCCAAACATTTGATAGTTCATTTATTGAGAGATGATTTCTTAGCTTTTCAGAGTAGCCTCTTCCTATTTGGCATGGTGTAATAATTGAGTTTAGCTGTGAAGTAAGGTTTGTTGTTACTGCATATCCTCAGGTTTCTGGTCAGCAGAAATATTACCTATTGCAAATATGTTATAAAAAATAAATGGCTCATTGTCACTTTAAAAAAACATCAGTGCGCTTGTCTTTTAAATGATGGTAGCTTTTATGAAATTATTAAGACTAATTGAAAAATGGCTTTTCATCCTTGTCATATTGAATACAAGTTCTTGGAAATTATGTATTGAGGCTTCTGTGCATTTGCTTAACAGTTATCTTCTATTTTTTATTATATCTCCACCTCTAAGTCTCCTCTTTAGAATCATCACATTGCTTGAAGGGCTTTTATAGTGCAATAATAAGTGTGTGAGAATGAAAATAATTCCCCTACTTCTACTGCTTGGCCAATAAGCCCCAGCCTAGGAGAAGGAAATGCCTAGGATCTTACATTCCATTGGGGAGATGTGGAAGTCCTCTCCTTGATTTCCTAACTGTTGGAACATATTCAATACATTCAAAGTTGGCTGAATCCTCTTCTTTCCTATCTGTGGAACATCTCATATTGCTGCTTTTCACTTGTAGGATCACCACTGGTTGTAGGTTTATATATATGAAGCTTTTCCCTGGTATAAGTAGAACTATAAAATGAAGTAGAATCAGCATGGATGAATCACAGAAATATAGAAATAAAATAGCCATTTAAGTTAACTTCTTATTTGAGAACTATCAAATAATTCCATTGCTCATTAGATTTGTTTTTTAGTCTCCTTCCCCATGTGATGAATTCAAACTCTACCCAAAAGATACATCTTTTTTCTGATCATGCACTATTCCCCTTAGTGCTCCTCACTCAAATTTTAGAATATCTGTTATTTCATTTGTCCACATTCCTTGTCAATGTTTCCACCCATTCTTTCTTTTTCCTGTTTTAATATATAGGAAATCTAGTATGCCACATAGCACTGTATAAATTATAACAAATATTTTATCCAAAATATATTTCAGTATTAAGTTTACATTCTGTAAATGTGAATGGCAGTAGAAATAGCTTAAAAAGCCAAATAATTACATGTTTTCCCATCTGATTTAGATATTTGAATGGTGGTATTTTCGGAAGTATGGAACTTCCTTCATCGAGCAAGTCTCTGTGAGTCACTTGCGCCCTCTACTGGGTGGGGTGGACAATAATTCCCCCAGTAGCTCAAATACAAGCAATGGGGACTCAGATTCAAACCGACAGAGTGTTTCAGGTAAAATAATTATAATTTAATCATCATTTCAATTTAACAATGTACTAATTATGATTAATTAATTTAAATAATTATTTTATATTTTAAGCAGGACAAGTTAACTATATCAGTTAAAAGTCCTTTCTGCAGATTGAGCAAATCATTGCTTATTTTTTTATCATTTATGATGTTTGATATATTTGGGAAAGCTTGATTTGCTCACTTCTGCAAACACTAATCAGCCTTGGTGAGAAATCACAAGAAAATCCCAGGGTTGAAAACTGGGCCAGAAAGTTTTTTAAAAAATGTTTTTTGTTTGTGTGTGTGTATTTTTCATCTTTTCCACTAACATTCTTGCATAGCTTTACTGCTCACTGTGTCAGAACAAAACAAAGCTAGGGAACCATTTTGATAAATGGGGTACTGGAATCTCCAAATTGGCTCTCAGACAGTATGGAGTTCTCTGCCTTTATTTCTCTATTTTCTTGTCAATGTGAGATTATTTAATAGAATCAGTGTGATCTAATTGTTAAAATACAAACTAGAAAGCCAGAGACCATGTCCTGTCTTAGTGATGAAATCCTTTTATGTGACTTTGGGCCAGTCATTCTCTCTCAGCCCAACCCACACCACAGGGTGGTTTTTGTGGGGAAAATAGGATGAGGAAGATTTGTTGGATATCTTTGCTGCCTTGATTTATTTTGTAAAAATAATAATAGGATACAAATAAATAATCAGTAGCTGGAGTCTTATTTTATTTATTGAATAACAGCAGAGGAAGATTACAAAAAGCTGACTATTGTATTATTCTGCTGATCTGTACTGTAAACTAGTTAGTATAACATTGCTGAAGTAATAATTAGGCCCAAAGTGACTAAAGAAAATACTTCAACAATTCTGATTTCTAAGCTCACAGGTGAATCCACTTGCTACTTGGTGTTAATTCCCACAGGATGAATTGTGGCAACAGATCACAGTTGGCAAATGGCTAATCTAGAATGAAATCATTTACAATATAACAGCTTTCAGAGGACAGTTCTCTTCATTCAGTTACTCTATTCAAGCCATACTCAGGGACATTATCTATGCAATGTTTGTTTTGTTAACAAATCACCTTTTTATTCTCATCTAAAATACTTGGGAATCATTCTGAAACATAATCTGTTTGCTTTTTAAAGAAATATTTATTGAAAGGGTTTATTTTACCTCAATGAGTTTTGATGTATTAGTAATTTTACAGTATTGGAAAGCATTCATCTTTATTTGTTCCTGTAGATACCAATAATTCGTGAAATCAAAGAAGTGATTATAATTCTTATTAAATATAATATGTTAAGTGTCAGCACTTAAAGGTGCCCAATCTATAATAAATACATTATTACCATTTGGTTGTCTATTTAAGTGTTTCAGATGTACCACCTGGGATAACTAATTAGAATATAATTTGTTTCCAAAATTTTTGTGGCAGAATGTAAAGTCTGGCGAAATCCCTTAAATCTGTTTAGAGGAGCTGAATATAACCGGTGAGTGCTTTGTAGATTTGTTATTCAAATATGTTAGCCTGTTTGGAAATTATTTTTAAACACTGGTTACATATGCTAGTCTATTTAGAAAGTAGTTTTAAGCATTAGCTCATCATCGTAAACTTCAAGAAGTCAGGTGCCTCTTTCAGATGTTTATCTTATGCAAATAGTTCAAATAAGGATATATGGACTTTGGATCCAGTCTCTTCTACTTTGTCCTTATGTTGGAGAATGAACACTTGACACTACCCTGCATAGATAAGTAAGTACGCTGCATAGTTAGACTTCAGTTTTTGGAAATATATAGGAAAACAGGACAAGAAGACATATTCCCCTGCAGAAGTTTCCACTTTAGCATACCAAGAATAACAGTGCTGAAGTACATGAATCAGTTAAGGTTGGTCTTGCTGTCTTCCAGATAATTCTAAACTTAAGGATGATGAATGCATGAACTAGACTACTGTTTCATTCAGACAGTGTTAATTTGTAAATTTCTTTTAGTGCCTCTATTAGTCTATATCAAGAATCTCATTAACAACTATATTTTACTTTTTCTACATTTATATATTATAGTTTTTCTTAAGCACTCAATGCAGTGTACATAGAGTCATCTATCATTTTAATCCTCACTATAACAGTTCTGTAAACTAGATCAGACTAAGCTCAAAGTCACCCAATGAGCTTTGTGATTGAATGGGAATTTGAATTTGAGTACCTCAATCACTGAACCACCTTGGCTTCATCTCCTCCCAAATCAGAAGCCTCAAGATTAAGGGGAGAAGCTGAAAATAATACAATAACTTCTTTAAATATAGAGTAGCTTCCTTAACATAATCAAAACATATATTATACGCCCCTGGTAGCTACCTCTCCCTGGTGTTTGCTGATTCTCTACTTCTCATTGGGAGAGGGAGCTGACGAAGAAACTCCACTTGCTAGGTTTTACAGGGGATGCTCTGGGAGATTATGGTCTCAAGGACGCCCAGTTTAGGGTAGTCCAACGGCTTGTGGACATAGATTTGCAATACTTAAGAGTCAGAGCCAACAAAACCTGCTCCCCTTTGATCTTTAGCCATTCTAATAATTATGGATTGAGGATGGCCTCTTATTTCTATACTCTAACCATCCCCAAGTATAGAAGAGTTTTTTCCCTAGCCTGTTTCAATGTCTTGCCCTCAGCACTACTCGATGGGCGATTCAAGGGGCTCCCATTTAGTGAGCGACTATGCCCCTGTGATAGGGCTGAAGTTGAAACTGTGCAGCATGTCTTATTATACTGCCCTATGTATAATACAGTCAGAATTAAATTATTGCCTCTCCTTGGAATTAATCCCTCTGGTTCTAATGTTAGTGCCGTATTTTCCGGCGTATAAGATGACTTTCTAAAGAGTTGAAATTGGCGCCGAAGTCGGGGTCATCTTATATGCTGAGTCATCTTATACGCCAGAAATTACGATAGTTTCTGGCATATAAGATGACTTTCTAGGCATGGAAATCGGCGCCAAAGTCAGGGGTCATCTTATACGCCGAGTCGCCTTATATGCCGGAAAATACGGTAATTTGGTTTTACATTATCTAGGGGATGGCTCCTCCTATATTACTTCTCAGGTTTCTAAATTTCTTTTAAGAGCTGTAACTATTAGAGGAGAACGTTGTAATTCCCTTTAGCCAAGGCTTCTGGTGTTAATTGTTTGTGATTATATTTTTCTTGTGTTTTCTTTTGTTGCACTTGCATTTTAGTCTGTGACCACAAAATTATATATATAGAACTGACGTAAGTACATCCAGAACTATTTTAAACCAATTAAGCCAGCGTTCAAGATTATTTTAAATTCAATTTATTAAATGTGCCAGTGTATATCAACAATATCACTATTGAACAATACTTCAATAACTTCTCAATTTTTCTTCAATTTAAAGCAAGTACAATTCTTTCCAAAATCACTTTTTAGTACCATAGTTGGATTTGTAGATGGAGGTTACTATATTAAGAAGGATGAAGGATGCATGTGGATACATTTTTACCAAAAGAAAAAGCAGCATAAGGAAAATCATCACATTATGAATGTATGATGTTTATTTTTACAATTTCTCATCCTGCACATCTGTCCTGAATGCACAAAACACAAATCTATTTTCAGATACACCTGGGTGACTGGAAGAGAACCATTGACATATTACGATATGAATCTTTCAGCACAAGATCATCAAACATTTTTCACATGTGATACTGACCATTTAAGGCCTGCAGATGCCAGTAAGAATTTTACTAAATTTATTTGAATTTGTAGCAAATTGTAAAGTCTGTTTTAAGAAATTGGAAATAAAGGATATCACAGATGTCTTGATTCTTAACAATGCATGTGTTTCATTTAATAATTTATATAATATATTTATATCATATTTCCTGATATGGTAATTTGGAATTTGGATTATATGATCATATGTATTTCCAAATGCTGTTTCCCCTTGCTGTAGAATAGCACTTATGGTTGTATTGTGTTATCACCATTGATTCTGGGAACTTACTGTTATTTTTTTAAAGGGAACAGGGGTTTTTTTCTTTCAGAATAGTCAAAAATGCCTTAAGCGGTTGCTAGAGCACTGAAGGACCAGCATGTTATCTTTTGTTAAGGATCTACTTAATTGCATTGATAGTTTTCATAGCTGCTTTGGAGTAATCTATTCTTATCACATTTGTACATAATGCATTGCTGATATTAACTAATAGTTGTAAGTTCATTCTTCTTGAAACATATTGAAAGAGTACCTCTTCTATCATCAGTATCTGATTATATTTTTGGATTTAATTAATTATTTGTATGGTGAAATGCCCTGCTAATATGTTAGTACTTTAAATAAGCCTAACATTACCTCCAAATTACTGCATTTAAAAAAAATGTTTGATTTCATAGTAATGCAAAAGGCTTGGAGAGAAAGAAACCCACAGGCCAGAATTTCTGCAGCACATGAAGCTTTAGAATTAAATGAGTAAGTCTATTAAAAGTCCTTTGATTTTTTTTATTGATTTGCTTTGTTATAATTTCTTATTACTTGGGGAGTCTTGTGCCAGTTTCTTGCCATTGGAAAAATCTTGTACAAACTGAGAAAACTTGAAATAGTATTCTGTACAATTAGCACCTGAGCAATGTGTGTATGGAATCTATACCTTTACATTTGTTGCAGCTAAAGTTGTATTTGTGTGATATTTTCATTTTTTTTCTAAATTAAGAAGAGGAGTTGGAGTTGATGCAGGAGAAACATTTCTTTCATACTAATTATGATAGACATGGACTGATACATTTTCTGAGCTTTTAAGAGACAGTATCTTTTTGATGTATTCTCATCTACTTATTTCAGACATGATGTATAACACTTACTGTACTTGAATGCCCCTTTCACCCTTTTGCCATATCCATTTACAATGGTCTTTGTTTGCCTGTTGGGCTTTCTATCTTAGTTGTTCTTTGGATATTATTTGTTCAGTCATGGGTTGCATATACAGTATGGTTCCAAAATAAAACCAATCATGTTGCTAGTTGAAACATATGGAATTTGGTATTTGCAGAGTTCTTCTATCCCACCACAACCTGAATTTTAACTGGTAGTTTGCTGCCCAGATCCATAGCTTCAGGATTGGATAGCTTGGAACTTGCAGAATTGGGCACATGCAAAGTTGTATTCTGTTGAAGTGAATAAGGTTGCTTGGTAGATCTGAAAATATGTTGCAGAGTTTCCATGCCTGCAGCCAGTTGCTGGATTGAGGCATACATTTTACCTAAAAGAATCAGGTATGCCCAAATCACTTGTCCAACTAATGTACCCTAACAATGTATCCTATTATTTTTTTCTTTGTGATGATTACTTTGTCATTTTGTTGACAGATGTGCCACTGCTTACATTCTCTTGGCAGAAGAGGAAGCAACAACTATTGTGGAAGCAGAAAAACTGTTTAAACAGGCTCTGAAAGCAGGTGAAGGCTGTTACAGACGTAGCCAACAATTACAGCATCATGGTACCCAATATGAAGCTCAGCACAGTAAGAATCTTTCCTTCTGTTACCAATTATTTAGATCAGAAGGTCTCTGTAGGGCCTTTTGTGACTCATAGGTTCATTTCATTAGATGCTTGGAATGGCTAAACTGATGTAGGATTTAAATTAGGATGAGGCGATAGGAAAAAAATAAAAGACAGGGTGGTTACCTTCATTCACTTTCTCATCCCGATTTAATCCTGCATCAGTTTAGCCACTCCATATGCGTGCATTATGAAATGAGCTATAGTTCACAAAAGCTTATGCCTTTTAATAAACATATTAGTCTGAAAAGATGCTGCCACACTCCTCATAACTTTTGGCTATCATAGTCTAATACAGCTGTCTTCCTATAATATGTAGGGATCTCTGAGAAACAAGTGTCTTGCAATTGACTAAGAATAATTTGACTACAGAGAAATACTGTAGCTTGAACATTGAATTCTATTTATTATAAAAACTGAATAGTGCAATAGTTCTGTGAAAAAAACTGTGAAATTCAGTAATATAAGATAAACAGTATGTAAATAATTTGCAAAACTGGAAAAAAAGAAAAAAATGCAAAAAATGTAATGGAAGAAATAAGTCTAGGGGTGTACAACTTAAGATAGCTAAAAAGAATACATTTTTGACTTCTTATGAACTTATTAGGTTATTGGAGAAAATAATCCATAGTTTCTAGTTACAGCCACCTGCATGCAGAAAAGATGAATTCAAAGTGGGATAAGAGCAATGAGTTAATTTATTTAATCACAAAAATGAAATATGTCATGCAAAAAAAGAATCTGGAAGAATTTGATTGTTTAATTTGTAAAATAAAAACAAGTGGATCATATTTAGAGACTTCTTTTGCATTTGCTTTTTCTTTTTGATGTTTTATGAAAAAAATGTTCCTTTTTCAGCTCACATTTTTCAAAATATGTTTAGTGACATTATTCTGTGTGTGTGTGTGTGTGTGTGTTAGTAAGGTTTCAGCCCAATCAGTGCACTGGATTCTCCATGCTTTTCTTCCAAAATGGGTGAATGCAAGTAATTAGTAGTAAGTCTATAAAACTGAGAATTATATGTTACAGAATGACATTGTTGTTAGCATTTATTATGATTGAATCATTAACAGAAAATTAAAATTTGCCTATTTTTTTTTGTCTGCATGTTGATGTTATTGGAGAAATGGTAGAAAGGCTAAATAAAGCTTGAGAAGATAGAGGCTGTTTATAAGAAGCAAATTAGCTAATCAAGAGTAAAATTTCTAGATACATTGAATGAAATTAATTATCTAATAAAGGATTATTTTCAAATCGTAAAAGAATAGCACCTTTTCATAGAGTCTGAGAATGTGGGTTTTGGTCAAGAGCTCTCGGAGGGATGATAATGTATGATAATAAATTTTCTGCACAGAAATGATTTTTCTAAAAAATAGAGAACTTGCAGTGTCTTTATAGTGGCACAATATAAAAGGATACGATTATCATACATAGTCAAAAAGTCAAATCAAAGGTTGCCATTATAGAATGAACAGGACTTCTCCTTATCTGGTTTACATGGTTTAGATTAGGGAGGGACAGCAGTAATTGGTTCACTTTCTGATACCTTACATGTCATAATTTCTACCAGCGTAGCAAATGACAAATGATAGGAATTGCACTCTGGCAATATTCAGGTTGTCCTCTTCCACTAATCTGAATTGCCTATCTTTAAGAAAATCAAAAACTAAAACAAAAATAAAACAGAAACAGGGCCTCTGAATACTCTGGAGATTAAACAAAGACATAAATTAAAACATAACAAAACTTGAAAAACTTGCTGGTCAGAATCTGTACTCCCATAGTATGTGTGAAGCTCTTGGTAAATACATTCAGTGATCTAGGTTTTATCTTTCTAGCCCAATATGTGCATTGCAGTCTTCAGTGATCAAAATGAGAGGAATGACTCTTTGACTAATTTACTGTATCTACCAAAGTTGGCTTCCTTCTTTTTAAAATTAAGATAACATGCCAAATATTATTGATATCACTGAAAATTTTATTTAATGTTTCAGTTCATTGATACACAATACATTATAGCCATAGTTACCTGGATGGTTTTCCCATTTTAAAGATGAATGTTTTGTAGTAATACTAGCATATGCTTCTAAAGAAATTCTATAATGGCTTAAAGTCACCCCTGACTTAATGGCATGTTAAGGTTGGTCACATAGTTAACCAGGTGTTTCTCCAGCAGGATGGCTGTAGAGTCCAATGGATGGGTTCTATGACAGCCTTCCTGCCCGGCAGACTGGGTAAAAACTTTGGCCACACCCCTTCCTTTGGGCGTGACCCCAGTTTTGACTCAGTCTCGAAGCCTGGTAGAAGTGCGAGAAGCAGCTCTCAGAAAACAAAAGGAATTTCACTCCAAAATAAGAGAAATCATTCCCTCTTCCTTCCAAATTTGAAAGCAAGTTCTCCAGTTAGCTGATAGAATCTTGAGGTGCAGCCAGGATCGCCGGAGTGGTGAGAGGGGCGTCAGGGCGGCTAGCAGGGGAGGTTTGAACCGGGGCCGGATCGCCCGATATCCGGCCCGCCGAGCAGCCGTTTGCCGCGGGGACCTACCCGGCCCGCCAAACAGCTGAGTGGCCGACTGCGCTCGGCCGACCAAGCAGAGACGCCGCTCGGCGCTAAACAGCTGAGCGGCGCGGGAAGCAGCAAACCGCGGCGCCGCTCGGCATCGATCAGCTGAGCGGCGCGAGAAGCGCGCCCTGAACAGAGCAGAGCTCTGGCGCCGTTTCTTTCTCCTCAGCGGAGAGGCGCAGCCACCTTAAGGCCAAAGGAACTTTCCTGTTGCCGAACTTAGAGCTCCGCCATTGTTTGAGCCTCGTGGCTTCCAGGGCTACTATTGGGAGGCGGGGCTTCCTCCAATTCGCCATTTTGAACAAGCGGATCAACCTGCGGTTTTCCTTTGTGGGTGGGGCTACCATCCGGATTCCTTTCCCCTGCAGATAAAGAAGGGATTCTTTATAAGATTGCCTGAGGTTACCTCCACACATTGGGGCAAGAGGAAGGAAGAGGAAAGAAGGAAGAGAGCTACCATCAGCTCCGATTGTGGTCTGCTGCCACAGCCACAGACAACGCCCCTTTTATTGCATTTGGCATTTTTATTTCTCTTCAATTCATGCGTTATCTGGTATTGCAATATCAATGAACCAGACTTTTTTCTTTTCCACATTAGTGATGTCAGGTGAGTTGTGGCCAGATGTCTGTCTGTTTGGATGGGAAAGTCCCACAGGATCTTGACTTGCTCATTTTCAAGAGCATTATCAATTTGGTGTTCCCGGTAATTTTTGCTGCATTCAAACCCAAACTTCTGGAAAAGCAAAAAGTATAATTTTGGCAACTCGATCATGACGTTGTAGATAATCAGTCTGAAATTTTGCTGCTGCTGCTGCTGCTGCTAATAATAATAATAATAATAATAGTAGTAGTAGTAGTAGTAATAATAATAATAAATAATTTAAATGTACATGTTGCCTGACTATCAGCAACTCTAAATAGTTTATAAATTGTTAAAAATATTTTAAAATAAGACAATATAAGAAGCACAAAACAAAATAATAAAAAACAAAGATGGCAGAGAGAATAAATCCCAGTGGAAATGGGAAAAGGGAAGAAAGGGGGCATCAATTGTCCTCACCAACAGCCTTCAGAATGGGGTCATTTGAATTTTGAGGGGAGCCTCATTCCAGAAGACATGTGCTATTACAAAAGAGGCACACTTTTAGAATCTTGCTAGGTGGCATAGTTTAAGAAACCCAGAACACATCAATCCTGTCAGAACAAACCTGCTAAGCAGATACTAGAAAAAGAGACATCCCCTCAAGTAACTATCTCCTATGTCCTATAAGACTTTAGAGGTAGTAAGAAACACCTTGACTCACACTCAGAAACAAACAGGCAATCAGTGCAGTTCACAAAGCAGAGGTTAAAATGCTATATTGCAGGCTAATTCTGCTGACTGCCAGAAGTACGATCCTCACTGGCTCATGGTTGATTCAACCTTCCATCCTTCCCAGGTTAGCAACATGAGGACCCAGATTGTTGGGGGCAATGTGCTGACGTTGTAAAGTGCTTAGAGAGGGCTGTAAAGTACTGTGAAGCAGTAGATAAGTCTAAATCCTATTGTTATCACTAAGCCCATGCCACTGCATTCTGGACCAGCTGATACTTCCAGGTGGTCTTCAAGAACAACTCCACATACAGAACAGTCAACCAATATTAGCATAATAAGACAAATAATTATTTAGCAATAACACTTAAACTTATATACTGCTTCATACTGCTTTATAGCAGGGGTCACCAACCTGTGGGCCGTGGCCCACTACTGGACCATGGCCTCCTGACCATTGGGCCATGGGACAGGCACATGTGCACATGTGTGTGCACAACCCCCTCACTTGTGCTAGCACTGTGGCTACAGCGTGCGAAAACAGGATGTCATGCTGTGGGGTTCAAAAATGGGCTGTCGCCACGCCTCAGACCATGAAAATTGGATGCCATGCCACAGGGTGCAAAAATGGATCACTGACACACCATGGGGTATGAAAATGGGCTGCTGCTACCCTGTGGGGCACAAAAATTGACTGCCGCCACATCTCGGGCTGCGAAAATGAGACACCATGCCTTGGGGTGTGAAAACGGGATGCCACTTCACGGGGAGTGAAGGTGGGATGCCGCCATTCTGCAGGGTACAAAAACAGGGCACCACATCATGTAAGAACAGGGCAGGTCTAGCGAGTATCATATGGGTACTAGCGTTGCCCCGTTTGCATTGCATTGGTGCTCCTGGCTCCATTCACATGTGTCACACACATGCAAAATGCTGCCCCTTCCCTTTCCCCCCGGTCTGGTGACTTCTGCTTTACAGTACTCTCCAGGCAGTTTACAGTGTCAGCACATTGGGTCCAACTATCTGGGTCCTCATTTTACTGACAGTAAAAGGTGAAAGAATATTTTATAGGGTTTATTAGGGTTATAAATGTTCTAGTATGATAGATTTCATTTTCAGCAGTGGAGCGCCATTGATAAAATAAATATCCAGACTAGAAAATTAGCTCTACCATGTTTCCCCAAAAATAAGACCCAACTAAAAAATAAGCCATAGCCTGATTTTTAGCATGCTCCTAATATAAGCCCTACCCTAAATATAAGCCCCAGTTAAGATCATCAGCCCTGGGGGAGTGGGTTTGGCCAGCACAGGAGGTGGCTAGCGCATGGGGGCTGATGGTGTCTGGCAGCAGCTGCAGTCTACACAGTGCAGGTAAGTCCAAGCACTGTGACCACTGGGCTGGCCTCCAAGCAGAGGCGTTGGGGGGAGGCAGGTGATCCCAATGCATGGCAGTATCAGCAGCAGGCGGAGGCAGAGGCATGGGAGGGAGGCAGGTGATTCCGACATGCCACGTGGCTACCCACCCACTCCGTCCCACTGTTTCTCACCTTGCCCACAGCCATGATGGGGCAGGCAGCTTCCTGCCTCCCCCCATGCCTCTGCCTTCAAAAACCTGTGGGAGACGGAACATCCCAAAAGTTGTGGGAGACTGAACAATGGTGAGCTACTTGGGAAAAGGAAGCCTATGCAATAAGATGGACCCTCTTAACCTGGAGGCATTTCCTAGAAGGGAGTAAAATCCCTTTCCATGTCTGGACTGATCATAAGAATCTTGAAACTTTTTAACTCCCAAGAGGTTATCTCCAAACAGGCATGCTGGGCCCAGCACTTCCATTGTTTTAACTTCTCCATCCACTATCTGCCTGGGGGGAAACAACTTCCTAGCAGACGCTTTGTCACGAATGCCACAATAGAACAGTGTGAAGGCAGAAGTGGTTAAACCTCCACTTTCCCCACAGCAACTGGCTGCCCCAACCACTACAAGGGCAGAGACGAAGAAACCCCCACCATTAAACAATGGGGTGATAGGGGACGAGTGGTTCAGCAGACATGAAAATCTCTGTTCAGTGTAAGATGGATTGGCTTGGGTGGGAGGAAAGTTGTATGTGCCTGCAAATCAGAGACTGAGAATCATGCAGGTCTGTCATGATTCAAAAAATGGCAGGACACTTTGGTTTTGTAAAGACTCTTCACCTGCTAAAGAGGCAATTTTGGTGGCCTTCCTTAAAGAAGGACATCAAAAGTTATGTGGCTAGCAGCCCTACCTGTGCTGCTGCTAAATGTTGGCAGGGAAAAATGCCTGCTTCCTGCAGCCGGTGGCAAGCCCTTCAGCACCCTGGAGAGAGATTTTATTGTCGAGCTACCCAAAAGTGTGGGAAACCCTGTCATTTGGGTTGTCACTGACCTGTTTTCTAAACAAGCCCATTTTATTCCATGTCAGAAGATCCCGACCGCAAAGACTTAGGCTAAGTTGTTTGTGCAGCATATTTATCACCTTCATGGTGCTCCAAAACATATAATATCCAATAGGGATGTTCAATTCACCTCCATGTTCTGGAAAGCCTTTTTGGACCTTTTAGATCATCTAGTCAAGAAAATAATGGAGCCTAAGCCTTTCCATGTTGGAGACAGAGTTTACCTTTCCACTAGATTTTTGCAGTCACTGCAGCCATCAAAAGAAGCTGGGGCCAAAGTTTATTGGTCCGTTTCCTATTAAACATATTATCAATCCTGTCATAGTGGAGCTGGAACTCTCTAAGAGTTTGAGACAAATTCACCCAGTAAACCACTATTATTGAAACCTGAGGTCACCTCCAAATTACAATCTATCACTACTCCAGCTCTTCAGCCTATTATGGTTGAGGGCGAGCAACACTTTGAAATCAGAGATATTCTAGATTCTCATAAACATCACAGCTCCACCCAGTATTTAGTGGCCTGGAAAGATTTGCCTGCTTTCCAGAATGAGTAGGTTTATAAAAGACATGTCAGGGCCCCTAGATTGCTTAAATGCTTCCATGCATGCTATCTCAATAAACCTGATTAATGTGTTTAATTTTGTTTTCCTTCCCCCCTTCCTAAGGGGTGGGCGGAATGTCAGAGCCCCTCAAATGTATTTGCCTTTAATCCTACTATCTTTCCCTTTCTTTGCTTTTACCTATGTATTTTCAGGGCTTGCTATAGTGTTGGGGGAGGGTGCTTACATGAGGTATAATGTTCGCTTTGCTCTGCTTTGTACAAGGTGCCCATCCTCTGGGCAAGAGGAATGTGACCTGAAAACATCTGCCTTATCTCCAGACAATGGAGCTGGAACCATTGGGAAATGAAAACAAGAGAGACCTCGAGAAGCGTGCTAAATCTCCAGCTTCTCATAACATGGTAGTACCTCTGGCTAGGTTTCAACTGGATGGTTGGACACTTGGGGGAGGAGTTTTGAATTGCCTTTTTGATGTAATACTTTACACACCAAATCTTTAGACCTTGCTTTGCTCTCTTGCCATCATTAACTCTCAATAAAAGTTCCTTTTGAGACAATGCCTGTTTCAAGAGTTCTGCTTTCTTGGGAGATCTAATTGAGGCAGGTCCTTACAAGAGTGCTCCTAATCTCTGCTTGTTACCTGTATAAAAGACACTTGTCCACAGAAGCAATCAATCAATCAGATACCAAACTCTCCAGGCAGCTCTGCAAGATTCAAGGTAGCTGAGGCCATAGTCACAAAGAAAACAGTTGGTAACACACTACGCTGTGAAGGACTGAAATCCTGAAGCGCCCACAAGGTCCCCCTGCTCAAGATAGTACATGTACAGGCCCATCTGAAATTTGCCAATGTACATCTGAATGATTCAGAGGAGAACTGGGTGAAAGTGTTGTGGTCAGATGAGACCAAAATCAAGCTTTTTGGCATCAACTCAACTTGCCAGGTTTGGAGGAGGAGGAATGCTACCTGTGACCCCAAGAACACCATCCCCACTGTCAAACATGGAGGTGGAAACATTATGCTTTGGGGGTGTTTTTCTGCTAAGGGGACAGGACAACTTCACCGCATCAAAGGGACAATAGACAGGGTCATATACCATCAAATCTTGGGTGAGAACCTCCTTCCCTCAGTCAGGGCCTTGAAAATGGGTCATGGATGGGTATTCTAGCATGGCAATGACCCAAAACACACGGCCAAGGCAATAAAGGAGTGGCTCAAGAAGAAGCCCATTAAGGTCCTGGAGTGGCCTAGCCAATCTACAGATCTTAATCCCATAGAAAATCTGTGGAGGGAGCTGAAGGTTCAAGCTGCCTAACATCAGTCTCAAAACCTTAATGACTCGGAGAGAATTTGCAAAGAGGAGTGGGACAAAATCCCTCCTGAGATGTATGCAAACCTGGTGGCCAACTACAAGAAACGTCTGACTCTGTGATTGCCAACAAGGGTTTTGCCACCAAGTATTAAGTCATGTTTTGCAAGGGAGTCAACCTATTTCACTCATTAAAATGCAAATCAATTTATAACTTTTTTGAAATGTGTTTTTCTGGATTTTTTTTGTTGTTATTTGTCTCTCATTGTTAAAATAAACCTACCATTAAAATTATAGACTGATCTTTTCTTTGTCAGTGGGCAAACGTACAAAATCAGCAGGGGGTCAAATAATTTTCCCCGTCACTATATTTAGTCACTAAGTGTTGATACCAATTTGATGACACATAATAAGATTTACAAGAGGGAAAAAATCCTGAGTATGTTCTCTTACTACTTGCTGACCTTTGAGGGTTGTCTCTGTCTTATTCTTTAGTATGTATCTCACTTGTTTTTTCACCTTATACAGAAGGATCAGTTCTCATGGAGTGTCAGAATTCCTGCAGTAATTTGTTAAGCACCAAGTTCCTCACTTTTGCAAACTAATCAGACACACTCACAGATGTTCAAAGAACTAAGATTTTTAAAAATGATAATTGCAAATTATTATTAAATGTGAGGTATCAATAGTATGAAAAGAAATAGCATTACACACATAGCAATGTATCTCTTACCACTCTTCAATGTATACAGTGCCAGTGTGCAGAAAGCAAATTCAAGGGGCTTTCTTAAGATTGTCATGCAGGTTTGTGTAAATAGGCCTATGTTAGCTCTATGAAATGCCAAGCAGTTTACTGTGTACAAAATTATCTGGGAGGAATAGTTAATTTAAAAATGTTTTTCTGCATCCTATCAGAATTTCTATGCTGCATTAGCAAAATATTGAGCAAAGTGTAGATATAGGCTGGTGGCCCAGATTTGTGGCATGCTGTATAGATGAGCTGTTATTTCAGAGGGGGATGCACAGAAAGAACCCTTGCCTAAATAAAACATGTTGTGGAAGTTACTATACTGTGGTGATGTGAAAGTATCACAATGATCTAATATCTAACTGGTAGTATATTATAGACATAATAAAAATATCCCTTCCATCTATATGAATGTATTTCTCTAACATGATTAGCAATGGACAGGTTATAGATCTTTTTTATTGTGTTGGCCTACTATCTCTATTAAGTAATAAATTCTAAGAAAAGGCATTTCTTTGAAGATGTCAAAATAGACCTTTTGTTCTGTCAGTTTCTATAAACACTCAATCTCTTCAAACCTTTTCCCCTTCTTCTCTCTTTCTTTCTTTCCTTCCTTCTTTTTCTTTCTTCCCAGGACGGGACACTAATGTATTAGTCTACATTAAAAGGAGGCTGGCAATGTGTGCAAGAAAACTGGGGAGAACCAGGGAAGCTGTGAAAATGATGAGAGATGTGAGTTTGGATTTGTGTTAATATTTGTCTTTTACATAACTAGTCACAATCATAGAGAGGAATTTCCTTTTGCTATAGAACCAACCTATCTACATAAAACAGTGCTGGTATCTAGAGTGCTTAACCTGCTTTCTTTTTTTCTGGTCCTTTTCCTATCATCCCCATATTTCTGTAGAAGGTGAACGATTTGTGCCCTTTATTGTTTATTGCTCCTGTCTTGTCTAGTTATTTTTACATGGAACTTCATATTAAAATCTGATTTTTCTTGTGAATTCAACATCTATATAAGGAAAATCTGCAGAGTCTCCTATTGCTGTATTATGAAAGGTATGAAGAAGGACACCATTAAGCAAAGAATCATTCCTGATTTTACCATAAACATATAAGCAGAAAAAAGATTAGTTACAATATTTTAGAAAAATTGGTATGTAGTACTGAAGAAGGAAGTTTATGTGACCAACAGATGCATTTCAACTCAGCCCCCGAGGCATATGTTGTTAGTTATGGGACAGTTTTGAGTGTGATTTTAAGGAATCTTGCAGATGCATAAAGTACCCAATCCTGTGCCTTTTTTAAACTTGATTTTGCCAAAAACAAAAGGAAAAAATGCATTGTTGAAAATCAGTGATTTTGTTATCCCCTCGAGGTACTCTGGTAGCTTCAGGCAGGCCATAAATTGCCATTTAATGAATGAAAAAAACATCCATTTCTTAGAATGAAAGAAATGTGAATGCAAAGTAATGCAATTAATTTACAATTTCAAAAGGGTTAAGAGAGATGAAGGGTGTCACAAATTGTTCCGCCTCCTGCACAGTTTTTCTGTTTTCAGGATGAGAGACAGCATACAGTACTTTAGTGATCAAAATGTTAGAGTGGTATCAAGAAGTCTAGTGTCAGCCATGTAAACTTTTTGGATTACTTATTGCAAATTACTCTTTCTCAACCCAACTTTTATTGTATAGCTGGAATCTTATCTTTAAAAGTAATCCAATCTGCTTTACCTCTTCTTATTCCTCAATTTGAAGAAACTAAGTTCCTCCCTTCCACTATCTAGCATGGGAAAAACATAAAAACATTTTAGTATTTTGATTTTTTAGTATAAGGAGTCCTTGCTTAAGGAATTGGAATCTCAGTTATTGAACAAAGCAGTTGTTAACTGCTTAACTCTTGGCACTCCTGATTGTGGTCATTAAGCAATCTTCTGGCTCATTAAGCAGATGGAGCAAAAGAACTGCTTAACAAAAGATTTTATCTCTATGCGGAGCTTCATATGGAGCTGAAATCCTCCTGGCAGGCAGCGCTTTCCCTTTCAATGTTCCTTCAGCCCACCAAAGGATTTCAGCTCCCCAGCACACACAGAGGGGCTTTGTGAGGCTGCAAGAACCAAGTTGAAATCTTCAGGATTTTAGCTCTGTTCTGCAACTTGCTAAAAGATTTCCCTTCTCTTCCATGCATTCTTCCAGTTCCACAAAGGATTTCATCTCCCTTCGATTCATAACCACAGGGAGTGTGGTATTATCAAAAGTGCTTTAGAGCAGGGTTTTTCAACCAGTAGTACAGGTACCACCTGTGGTACATTGGCACCTGGCAGGTGGTATGTGACTATCCTAGAAAAGTAGTGGGGGAGGGGAATGAGCTGAACCAGTGGCAGCACCGCACAAGCCTGAGCGAGAGATGGCTGGAGCTGCAGGGCTGTCAGGGCTCAGCAGAAGCGCCAGGATCAGCGCCAGGCTCCAGCTGGAGCTTGGCGCTGATCTTGGTGCTTCTGCTGAGCCCTGAAGAGGCACCGATCAGCTGGAAAGCAGCACTGATCCTGACACTTCTGCTGAGTCCAGAAGAAGTGCCGATCAGCTGGAATGTTGCAGCATCTCCAGGGTCTTGTGATTTACATTCAGATGCTTGGCAACTGATACATATTTTTGATGGTCACAGTGTCCCAGGGTCATGGGAAGTGACCAAAACCTGCTGCAACCACCCAACAGATGAGGGGGAATAAAAACCAAACACCTCCACCCCACCCCCACTGCCAATCCTCAACAGAAATGCTCACAACAATGAAAACCTTGGACAGGAGGAAGAACGCTGCCAGGTGGGCAGGCAGGTGTCTTGCTCGGCTGTGGCTTGGGGGGCACTTTTTCAGTGCTGTTGTAACTTTGAACAGTCACTAAGCGAACTGTTGTAAGTCGAGGACTACCTGTACTTTATCAAGTTTTTGACACCTTGCTAGGTGACTGGTGGTACTCGGATGTTGCCATATCCTAAAAGTGGTACAATGGGTGAAAAGGTTGAAAAGCCCTGCTTTAGAGACTATATAGCATTCTTTCCAAAGGTGTCATTAATCCAAACAGTCATTAAGTGATTAGTTGTTAAGCGAAAACTACCTGTAAAAAATTAAAATATTGTAGAGAGGAATTATGTCATAGAAATCAAGACAAAAATTTTGAGCGACATGCTTTTAAAAAGATTTGCTTTTTTAAAAAAAAGTCTATAGAACTTTTTGCTTTTTACAAAAATCAGCCAAAAATTTACAGTAAAGCCAAATTGCAATTAAGAGATTAAATGTGCCAAATCTGATAGAGCTCAATGCAGGGCTTTCAATGCTTGTTTAATTTCTTATTTAAAATGTACATAATTTGTTTGAGTGGAAAATGTAATGAAATTTGCTGCAAAAATATGTCCTGGAGTGATAAATATATATGTCACTCAAATTTCATTCAGAGGGGTTGATCAATTTTTATGCAAAAGATAGAGTGACAAGAGGCATTAACTCTTTTTGTGAATTTATTACAGCCAACAGGTATGGAGGTTTCAGAGAAATACAAGTAATAAATATATTTATGTTTTCTTTAAAAGAGAGTATTTCTTAAACCATTTGAATAGATAAGATAGCCATAGAATTGCTTCTATGAATTGTTTCATAGAATAAAGTTTCTGTGAGTGAAGGAAACTGAAAAATTAAGCAGCATTTCTTCTTTCAAGACTTTCCATACTTGCAACATTCTTAGATTGGGATAATTTATATAAATCACAAAGATCCATTTTTTGGGGTAATTTCCATAAATATTTAGGTCAGATTCTCTGGTATTGTTCAACTTGTCAAAGTTGTGTGTGTGTGTCCTCAATGAAATTTTAAGATGTAAATAAGAAAGACATTAACATGTCAAAATGTTGTTATTACCTAATAAGTATATTGGATGATATTTTTATATAATGTGTTTGCATAATTGTGGAACACTGCAATCTTTTTCATCAATAGGAAAACGAAATGGAACCTGAGATTCTTAAATAAGATATAATATACCATACAATCCTATATGTATTCAGTAGAAAATTATTTCCTAGAATAGAATAGAATAACAGAGCTGGAAGGGACCTTGGAGGTCTCCTACTCCCATCCCCTCTCGGGCAGGAAACCTTGTACCATTTCAGACAAATCGTTGTCCAATCTCTTCTTTAAAACTTCCAGTGTTGGAACATTCACAACTTCTGGAAGCAAGTTGTTCCACCGATTAACTCTTCTAACTGTCAGGAAAGGTTGCTTCTCTTCTTGATTAGTTTCCATCCATTGCTTCTTGTCCTGCCCTCAGGTGCTTTGGAGAATAGCTTGACTCCCTCTTCTTTGTGGCAGCCCCTGAGATATTGGAACACTGCTATCATGTCACCCCTAGTCCTTCTTTTCATTAAACTAGATATACTCAATTCCAGCAATTGTTCTTTATGTGTTTTAGCCTCCAGTCCTCTGATCATCTTTGTTGCTCTTCTCTGTACTCTTTCTAGAACAGGGTGTCAAATTCAATTTCATTGAAGGCCGCATCAGCATTGCAGTTGCCCTCGAGGGGCTGGTTGGGTGTTAGGCCAGGGTGGGTGCAGCTTACTGGGTGGGTGTGGATGGAGTGGATGTGGCCTACTGGGTGGGCATGGCCAGCTCTACATCGTTCATGTCAAGGGTGCCTGTGGGGGCCTGGGCAGGAGTGGGACAGATCTGAGGGTCTCTGGTAGAAGGGGACGGGACCGGGGCAACTGCCAAGGCATGGTCCACTGGAGGAGCCTCACTATTCCTCTCAGGCCATGCGGGGGGGGGGGGCTGGATGGTGGTGTGGGCTGCCTGGAGCCCTAGGCAACAGAGGTCAAACGCCCAGTCTGGCCCTCGAGCACCTGAGCCCCACTTCCCCAAGGGGATACCCAGCTGCACTTACCTCCTCTTCAAGGCTGCTGCTGCTTCTTAGCCAGGTTGCTCATATGGGTACGAGGGCAAAGTCAGAGGGAGGCCCATTCCCTCTCCATGGGAGGAGACCTGGCTTTGTATCCAAAGCTTTCTTAGCAATAGGATGGGAGACTCTCAGGATAGGCCAGGAGGAGGGGGCGGCAAGGGGATGGTGAAAGGGCAGCAGGGCAGGACTAAGGCAGGACTTCCCTCAGACCCTCCCTCTCCTTCTTTCCTTCTTCCCTTCCTTCCTTCCTAAGTACAGAGTGGTGGGAAAATATTTGAGATGAGGGAGGGAGAAAAACAGGCAAGAAACGCAGCTGGGGAGGTGTCACCCTTCCTGAGGAATGAAGAAATGCACCATCACCTGGAAGTTGCCACCACATGCAGTATTCCAAGTATGGCCTTACCAAGGTATCATAAAGTGGTATTAACACTTCACATGATCTTGATTCTATGTATGTTAATGCAGCCTAGAACTGTGTTGGCTTCTTTAGCAGCTGCAGCACACTGCTGGCTCATATTTAAGTGATTGTCCCCTAGGACTCCAAGATCCCTCTCACATTTACTATTATTGAGCCAGGTACCACCTATATTGTACCTATGCATTTAGTTTTTCTTGCCTGAAAGTAGAACCTTAGTTTTTTCACCATTGAATTTCATTTTGTTAGATAGCACCTAATGTTCAAGACCAGCAAGATCCTTCTGTATCTTAAGCCTATCTTCTGGAGTGTTGGCTATTCCTGCCAGCTTAGTGTCATCTGCAAATTTGATGAGTTCCCCATCTATCCCCTCA